ATCTTCTTACAAAAAGACAAATATGGCCATGGCTGGGTGGAATCACCCTTCCTAATCCGAAGCAAGCAGTCATTTTCTATTTCATTTTGAAGGACACATTGAGATAAAATGAACCATCCCTAAAAATATAGCCCATGGCCACTGAAAGCCCAGAGAAGCAAAGAAAAGCTACTGAACTGCCAGTCCCAACAAGGAACCCCGTTCTTGACTACACACAGATCACATCTGGTTTATTAGTTTTGTTCTCTTAGCTTTTTGCTGAGTTGAGAGCAGAAAATTTGCATTTGTCTTTAGACAATGGTAGTACCCCACACGATCCAATGGCAGGCAGGAAGAAACCGCCAAGTTCACACATCTACATGTTGAAGATCTTGTTGCGTCATACAAAGAACCAGGCTGTTCCAAGAATGGATCTCCCCAGCCCTGATTATGTGTACATTTGTGACTTTGTTCTAGAGTTTTATCTGCTTGGGCCATTGTGGCAGATTACCACAGACTAAGTGACTTATAAAAAACAGAACTTGGGGCTGGAAAGATGGCTCAGCGGTTAAGAGCACTGACTGCTCTTGCAGAGGACCTGGGTTCGATTCCCAGCATCCACATGGCAGCTATGAACCATCCTTAACTCCAGTTAAGCCCTCTTCTGACCTCCACAGCATTGCATGGCACGGGTGCACTCACATACATGCAGGCAATACACTCACACACAAAATAAAAATTTTTTTAAAAAAACAGAACTTTATTTCTCATAGTTCCACAAACTGCAAGTCCTGGAAGTCCAAGATTATAGCACCCAAGATTCAGAATCTGGTCAGAGCCTCCCTTCTGGTTCACAGATGGCTGTCTTCTTGTGTTCACATGTGGCAGGGATAAGGTCTCGGGCCTTTTGGATGAGGATGCTGACCCCATTTGGGGCAGCTCTGCCCTTATGCTCTCATCACCTCCCACAGGCCTCCCAATGCCACTGATGAGAACAGGTGGAAATTGTTCAAGCAGTTTTGGGGACCAAGGTCTCAAAAACACAGTTCTAATTCTTGTCCTTGGTCAGAAGCCAGAAATATCCTTGGTTTCATCCTGGCCAGAGGCCAGAAATGCCAGGAGAGCTTGACTCCTGCTCTGGTTTCTTGGTATCTTCCTTCTACACATCTAAATGAGCACTCTCCCAGGAAGCTCTTCCTGAGGAGACTGAAACTGGGAGGTAGGGGACATTTCATGCCATATTAGCCCCTCCATGGGGACCCACAGCGATACCCCATCTCCGGGACCACTCCTGCTGTACAGAAGCTCTGATCGCTTCTGATGTCCTAAGCTCTCACCTATGAACCTATAATAGGTGTGGTCTGTGAAATTCATTCTTCAAATTCTCAGGACAAGAACTCAGAGCTGCTGACTCAGTGGAAGCCACTGACTTGTGACTGTGATCTTCTGGCACCCTAGGTCCTGAATTAAGTTCATGTGAGGTGAGAAAGCCTGTTGTCCTTGTCACTATCACCTTGGGGAGCAGGATTTCAACCAAGAAACTAGAGGACAGCCAAACAAAAATACTTAATACGTAGTACCTAGAATCTGTAACAACTGAACTTTTTTCCTTCCTTCTTCCATCCCTTCTTTTTTGCCACTTTATATTGAGAATAATTTAATGGAGGGACTATATATATAAAGGTTGGATGAGGCTAAGGAAGGAAAAATATTTAAGATTAAGGTGAAACCTCACAAGGTAATAGCTGAAAGTCCTTCCCAGGCCTGGCCTGCAAAGACCAGGAAATAAGCCTTTAAGAAACTAAGAAAGGGGGCTGGAGAGATGGCTCAACCAGTTCTTACACTGGTTGTTCTTGCAGAAGACCCAGGTTCAAATCCCAGCACCCACATGGCAGCTAACAACTGTCCATAACTCCAGTTCCAAGGGATCCAACGGCCTCTTCTGTCCTCCATGGACATTGCATGACACGGGTACACTTACCTACATGCAGGCAATACACTCATACACATAAAATAAAAATAATAAAATATTTTTAAAAAAAAAGAAACTGAGAAAAAAAATAGAACAGCTGATCTGGTTAATTAAATTAGAAAACAATGTCACCATCCCAGTGGTGTGATAGTTCAGCAGCGTTTTTGAGACAGGGTCTCCCTGCAGCCCTAGGTGGCCTGGAACTCACCATACTGACCAGGCTAGACTCCCTGCCTGCCTCTGCCTCTCAAGTGCTGGGATTAAAGGCCTGGACCACCTCACCCAGCCTTCTTTTGAATTTGCAAAGGTAAAAAAATGTTTAAAACAAACAAAAACTCTGCCTTTCTGGAGACCTCTCCAGGCCATCTAAGCCTTGACTTTGAACTATTTTTGCAATTATGTTTCTTCTACATAGCACATTCTCCTGAGTTCTGATCCTAGCCTGGTTCAAGATCAGTTATTTCACAGCTCTGTACAACTTTCTGTTCTTTGTATTGTCTTTTGAACCATTATGAGCCCTGATTCCCTCACTGATTCATGAGTAAAATAAAATCTTTAGTGTATGTTTTCTTGATACCTGCATGAGGCTCATGATTGTACCATTTGGGAAAATATCTTTTAACAAAACAAATGTCTACTCCAACCTCAGGGCTATCCTATGGAAGGTGTCTGACAGCAAAATTACCTGAGTATTACAGCTCTTTCATATTCTGACAGGCATAGGGCTGTATCCCAAGGCAGCCAGAATCAGCACCCCACACCAGTTCCGTCTTTGGGGCCAGGCCCAGCTTGCCTATCAAGTTCATGATTACTTTAGGGGAGCTGTCCCTGCAGGAGCTCCACTCGCTCTTGAAATCTCCCACATGAAGCAAACCACACTCCATCAGACTTTTGTTTGTTTGCAGTTTGGGGGTTTTATAGGGGTTTTGTTTGGTTTGGTTTGAGGGGCAAGCACTGTACCGCTGAGCTACAGCCTCCACCCACACACGCTTTTCTCAAACTCTCTCTTCACCTTAACATTGAACCTCAGTGGGGGTCAGAGTCTCTCTCTTCTCCCAGGGATTCTGTCTCCTGAATAAGCTAATACAGATATGCCTTTGAACTCCAGCTGTCAGTAGCATCCAGACTTAAATGAATTTTAATGGGAACGTGAACCTTAATTCTGCCCAACAATGATACACACACCCAACTCTCTGCCCAGTAAGAACATTGCCTTGTGTCCACTGAGCAGGTAAGGAGAGTTCAGAGCAGCTCAGCACCTTGTCCACGACACAACACATGGCAGACAGGGATTCAAATGCCAACACTAAGCACCTTTTCCAACGAACCCTCATATAAAATGGGAGTGTCCCTGGAGAGCCCAAGCACAAAGCAAAGAAGCATCTTCTTTGCTTTTTTTTGAATACCCCCAAAGAAAACTGGAAAAACCATAAGGCCTTGCACATGCTTAAATTCCATCTAAAACTTTTCATAATAGAGCTAAAAGGGCTAATTTGTTAAGTGCTGACTATTTTGAATGCATTCAGCAGATATCAAAATGACTTAGTAGCCACCGTAAGAATGTGCCCAGAATTTTCCATCTTTCCTTCCTGAACTCAGCCCCATTTCGTCTCTCCTACACACCATAACTCTTTCATGTGAAATTCCTCTTTGAAGCAACTACTACATTTCTCTGTGTAAGTCTTTTATTTTAAAATTTGCTTCATGGCCTGGAACTATAAACCTCTATGTGTTTAAAATTATGTCTTTGGAACTATTACATAATTGTTAAAATTGTTACTAGTATATGATTGATCAAAATTATTTAGTAAATAGTAAACAAAGTGAATTTCATTGTAAGCATTATCCCATAACTGAATGAACGGGGCAGTTTCTCCCTGGTCTGTTTTTGACAGCTGAATAATATGGTTACTATTTATAAATAAAGGAGGGGATACTAGCAATTCTATTCTGTTTTTTCCAAAAGTTGGAGAAGAGCCTTCTTTTTTTTTTTTAAGAATGACATGAGTTCTATCACAGCAATGACCCTCAGTTCCTTGGAATCCTTCTCAGTGACTGATAAAAATGTTCAACCTGATGGTTCTCTCAGGTGTGTGGCTGGTGAATGGCAGATAGCTACCAAGCTTCCAAGGTTAATGCTAGGCATGGTGGCACACGCCAATAATGTCAGCACTCAGGAGACTGAAGTAGGAAGATTGAGAGTAGACCAACCAGAACAATTGTCAAGAGCTGAACTCTTCTGTCAACAAAATCACAAAGCAGCAGCCCAGGTAGTGTACTGCTGTTAATCTAGGTACACAGTGACCCAGGCAGTGTGTTCCCTTGATCTAGGCAGTTACATACATGAGGATTTATTGCAGTGTTTGTCATTTGGTCCTAGACAGAGTTGATAAGCAATCTTTTGGATATACATAATATTTAAGTTGAATTTAAAACTTTAATAAGAGGCAGAGAAGAAATACCATCAAAACCAGGTAGAAGATAGCTATCTTTCAATGAAGCTAAGTAATAAGGTTTCTGAAGAGGCATCTTCTCAAAAGATGATTTTTGTCTTCTTTCCTACAATGCATTATTGTTAGCTGCAGTCAGACAGCTCAAGTTTTCAGACTCCTGGGGAGCTTTTCTTTAGACAGGCATCCTATCTTCCCTTTAGACCTACCATACTCAGTAAGTACACATTAATTCCTTCCTAATGGGACCCATGGGGCAGGTGCCATGGTGCCATCCTAAATTGAGAGATGACATATGATCAGCAGGAAATGAGTAGCTGGTCATACAGAAAGGGTACAGGTGCTGTCACAGAGGAAACCATTTATACAGAGACCTCTGCACAGCCTGGTGGATGATAGGAATGGGAAGGAGTCTTCCTATTTCCATTTCCCTGGAAGAAACAGGATTCACTGGCCCCTCACCACATCTCTGCCCAGCACTTTAGTCTATACATAGTACCAAGCCACCACTTGATCTATCAAACGGTATATCAAACAGATCCATGATCCCTATTAAGCTACGAGTTCCTTTAAGGCAAAGAAATAAAAGCATGCACCTCCACGGTGCTCGAACTTATTTTATTTACAATTCCGCCTCCAGGAGACACAGATCATCACAGGTACCCACTCTCCATCTGGGACCTTTCTGCATGGCTGACCTGCTGCTTCCTTGGTTAGGCTTGGTTTCCTCACATACAGATAGGCCCAAGAGAGGGAAGGCCAGAACTTTCTCCTCCACATGGAAGAGGACACAAAAGCCAAATGACCCACACATCATGGAGTAGTGGCAGAGCCCTAAATTGCCCTGGAGGCTCAGGCACTTGGAGTTCTCTCACAGGTTAGACACTGGATCACTGTCCGCCTGCCCCAATGGCCAATCCCTAACCTGACTGTAAACACTTTTGGCCAATGCTGTACACATAATGCAAGCCAATGTTTCAGATTACTGGGCTCTGAGCTTCGGTTGCTGGGGTGCAAGGATGAGGTGTGTGCACAGTGAGGTGTGGCCATGACAACACACTGCCCTGTGCTCTCCTCTCCCTGCAGCTCCACCTCCATCCACCCTGTTACACCCCCAACCCTCTGGGAACCCAGGACCCTGGGGGGGGGGGCGGTTGTGTAACAGCATGGCTAGGAGTGGACTGCTCTGTTGATGGGTCGTTTCTCTGTGAAGAAGCTTTTCAGCAACAGCACCTGGCTGAAGCTGACCACAAACAGGGCAATAGTCTCGCCAACAGACCAGTAAGACACTCGACTATTCAGGTCTTCGGCTCTGGCTCGGTCCTGGGCCTCTCGGAGTCGGTAATGTGTCTGGGAGTCGATCACTGTCTTCAGAGCCTCATGAATGGTCACACAGGCAGACTCCATCTAGGTAGGAGAAAAAAGCAATCAACTACTAACCCTAAGACAGGCAGCATGGAATCCAGCAAGTAGCCAAAGATGGCAGCATTCTAGGGAGTATCTACCGATATCTGCTAGGGGTCTGGGCTAAATGTGTTATGTTGTTCTATTTAATTCTACAGATCAGCCTGACTGAGGCTCAGAGTGGGTAACTAGTCCAATCACATTTACTAGGTAGGAGAACCAGCATGTGACTCAACTATCTGAACACTGAACCTGTCTGTGCAAACCCTGTCCTGTTTCTCTTGTTTAATCTTCAAAATGCCCTGACAGTCACAAACACCACCTTCAGTATCAAGGACAGCCACTGGTAGCTTACTCATTCTACTGATGAGGAAATTAAGGCTCAAAGAAGCTACATGAATCACACAAGGCACACAGGCTCAGCAGCAGCAGCATGAACTGAACAACAATTAGGTGGACTCCAAATCTACTGCTTATTCTACTATATCATTGATACCTGAAGTTTTAAACATAGACACAAACACATGGAACACACAGACATGCATACACCCATGCACATATGCTCATATGTAACATACCACTTCACAACTTCTTGTACCTGCAAAAATATTCCGTGGTAGGCAGAGCTCCAAAAACGTCCCCACCACTATCACCAAGAGTCTCTGCTCTCCTTTCAGGAACCTAAGGAGGTGGAGTCACCACTCCTATGGCTACACCGTTACCAAAGGTAACTGAGAAAGTACCACCCAAAAGTGGAGCTGCCTTTACCTGCCACATTGGGTATCCTTCACACTGGGCCATTCCAGGAGATAAACTAGTCAACGTTGGAAAGGCAGCTCCCCTTACCCTGCATTTACAGGACAGCACCTGCCAGTGGTCTGCCATCTGATCCACATCCCATGCTAAGGATTTCAGCACACAGTGGCTAGCCCTCTCGTGCTGACCCACGGGTACTGTTTAGAACTGGCAGAGGGACTGGGCAGCAGATCAAGCAACAGAAGCCGGTCAAAAACAAACCTGTTTGTTCACTAGCTTGTCTCCCAAGTGAGTATTTATCTTGCTTTCTCAATGACTTACTAGCATCCTAGTACCTTGGACTTATACAATCTTCCTTTGTGACTGAGGCATCATGAGCACTTGGCCTCTTCCCTTCCAACATCAACAGACATTGGACACTGGAAAAGGGGACAGATGCTCCTATGAAGGGTTCTGACACCAAGAAAATGATCTATGATGTGCTTGCCAAATCATTGTGTAAACACTTATTTTTATGCCCACAGATGAGTATGGCTGTCAGCTTCAGCCAGAGAAGCATCTTCTTATGGTGGGCAGCAGCTACCGTGGAGACACAAGACTGGTCTGAGTGCTGAGAATGAGCGACTGCTGACTGCTCGGCTCTAAATGAGATACCTATATCACCCCTTCCAAAGATCAGGTACACTACAGAGGAGGGAGTGGAAAGAATGTAACAGCCAGAGGATGGGGTAGGATGTTGTGGAAAGCTGTCTTTGGGCAGAACATGGCTGTTGCACTACTGAACTTTCAGCAGCTGTGATTACCTGCATAAGACTGTCAAGACTGGGCCCCTCAACATTCTGTCATGGAGTGGCGAGGCCTGGCTCCTCCCTGAAGCCTGGCTCCTCCCCGAGGATCTATAGGTACATAAGAGTTGCTAGGGAAAGGAGAGACATTTTCTGCAATGGTGCGAGCACTAGTAAGTTGTCCATGCTCCTATAAATAGCACCTCATCTGTGCTTCTGTAATTAACCCTGATTTAACTTGTTGGCAAGCACAAACACAAACGCACACATACACACACACACACACACGAAACAAAAATAATAAATAAGAGCAGTAATGGAAGAGACGGGGCGGAGAGATGGCTCAGCAGTTAAGAGCACTTGATGTTCTTGCAGAGGACCAAGGTTTGGTTCCCAGCACTCATATGGTGGCTCACATCTGTCTGTAACTCCATTCCAGGGGATGTGACACCTTCTTTTCTGATCTCCAAGGGCACCAGGCACACATGTAGTGCACATACATACATAGAGGTAAAGTACTCATACACATAAAATAAATCTCTAAAAGAATACTAATGAATGCCAGGCGTGGTTGTGCACACATTTAATCCCAGCACTCAGCAGGCAGAGGCAGGCAGATCTCTATGAGTTCAAGGCCAGACTGGTCTACATAGTGAGTTCCAGGCCAGCTGGAGCTACAGGGAGACCCTGTCTCAAAAAAAGACCAAAGAAAACCAAAAAGAATACTAACAGGATAAACCATGATGCAGTCTCATAATATACAGCTGAAAAGGGTTGAAGAGTGTCTCTATGACAGAGACAGGACCATAAAAGCACGCTATATCCCATCCACTGTGGTCTTCACTAGTACTGGGCTTTCTACTAGAAACCTCTTCAGCTCGTTACCACAGAATTTCAGTTAGGCAATCCCTCCAGCTTGCATCAGGGGATATGAGCCAGCAGGCTCTGGCTGGCTAAATGGGGAACAATGCCACGTGGCACAAAAACAGGCTGGTGAAAAGAAGACTTCACAAGTCCCACCTGCCCTCCCTCATCTGCGAGGCTCTTCCTCCTCATGTCACAGATAAAACTCTTAAGCAGCTGCCACATTTTCACTCTTCAGCCAAAGTTTGTCCAGTGATACCTTCTTGACCTTCTACCCTCTGACCCCAGCTCTGACCAGTGCCCTGAGGCTAACTGACTAGCAGGGATGCATCCTCACAGGGTTCCTGGCATGGAGACAGCCTCCTCTATTCTGGTGCTTCCACTGCTGCTGGCCCAGTCTCTAGATTGCACAAACATCTGTCAGAAGTGAGCAAGTCTTCAAAAGCAGACTGACAGATACTGGGCTAAGGCAGAAGGGTCTGAGCTACAGAAGTGGAAGTAAACACCCATTTCACAGCTAGGCAAGAGCCAAGGCAAGGTTCTAAGAGGCTGGAGAAGGGAAGCCCAAACCATCCCTGCCCATACAGAATTAAACTCCAATGCCCATGCTCCAGGAAAGACCTCTCTGTTCACCTAAATGACTCCACCATTTTCCTTCACTGGTCCTTAAACTCAGGCATAGGAAATTTCCTTCTGTTTTATCAGTGACCAACAGAACAAGCCACACCCTCAGCAGGATCTTCCAAAGGCAGACACAATGCCCAGCTAAAACACACCTGGGGCCATCCAATGGAAACTTCTGGGCATGGTCCCCAGTCACCTGCGACTACTGGATATCATATGTAGCTATAGAGCAAATGAGGAATTGAATTTGTAATTCAATTTTTATTTAAACATCCAAATGTAGATAGGGGCTACTGTACTGGGTGGTACATTTCTATCCTCTAATGGTTCAGAGAAGGTAGAAAACTGATCAACTCCCACAAGCCCAAGAGAAATGATCATCACAGAGAGCAAACAGAAGAAGACTGTTGGCCTCTTGGAAATTTGAGAAGCTGGCTAGCGTCCTGGAACACAAGCAGCCATATATTGTTCCTGTCTCACAGGTTCTTCCATCCATGGCAATCAGTCACAAGACAAATATCTGGTGAGCTCCTTTTGGTGCCATGCCTCCCACACTGGGACACTGAGAATACAAAAGTAAATACCAGTGTCCTGGCCCTCAGGAAGCCCAGCTTACATGCGGGAAGGAGGAGGAATGTAACAGGAGAGAGAACTCAGGAAGGAGGCTGGGGTCAATCAATTCATCTTGAGAAACACCTGGGACAGAGGAATCTACCCAGCCTCCAAAAATGCCATAGCTTCCTCAAAGAGTGGGAGCTGTTGCCCAGAGACTGTACTTGCCAGCCCTCTTTTCATCCTGATTTGCTACAAAAGGGCTCACCAAAGGGACACGCGCAGAGGTGATGAGTGTGACTACAGTCCACGGCTTTCAAAAACCAGGCATGTCCAGCTCATCTCTCCTCCTTTTTGTGGTTAGAGGTAGAGGACTCTGAAGTCCAAGGGAAGGCAGAAGGATGATGAGAACGAGCCTTGGGGCTCCACACAGTGCAGCAGCAGAGCATGTGCTTAGCATACACAAGATCCTGGGCTCAAACCTCAGCAAAATAGAGGGAGGGAGGG